TAAGAACGACGCAAAAATAATACTATGACATAATTCAGTGATTCATACAAATTCCATAAAAAGTATCGTTTTTGACATGTTGGTTAAAAGCATTGAATTTGACTAATTGGAAGCTCCCGTATTCTATTAAAATAAAAAAGATATAGATGTACGCATTCTACTTTATTAAAAATATCGACAACGTGATGTCTTTTGCTGCAGTTATTTCAATTTGTATTGCGTTCCTTTTATTTCAATTTGTATAGGAAATAATTGAAACTGTCTTGATAGTTGTTAATAAATTATTTATCTGCATGATTCTCGCTACTCCAGCCACGCTGTCGATTTATTTAAATAACATGCTATATTGGAAATTGGTTTCCAGTTTTAGGTACCAACTGCGGCACTGACAATATCATTCTACGCCCAGACTAATGTGATGGTATTTTGAAACGCCTTCAAATTGATAAACTTGACTTGACGGAACATGTTCTTATTAAAATTAATAATGAAAATACACAATTTGATTGTTACACAAAACTTAATTATGACGAATAGTTTCGAGTATTCTTATGCATACATTGCACAAAGATATGCGACTCGTCAGTTAATATTCGATTAAGTATCGAATATTATCGGTAACTGTAATAAAAATATGGGTCCCTGATCAAGGTCAAAGGCCGGTATAGGCCGGGTTAAACATATGCCTTTTTTGTGAGGGGAAATTCATCAAATTACTTCTCCCGCCCAGGGTCGAGCGGGAGCGAGTGTCAGACTCTTACTGACTAAAGCCGCGATGCCTCATCGCGCTTACCCCGCAAACCCCGGACATGTATTATGCCTAATATGATGATAATGAATAACATTATTATGTACATATAAATATTTTATTAAACATTTTTAAAGTAAATTAGAAAATATATATCTTATTACCCAGCTGATTCCCAAATCTGCTGAACGCTATTTGTAACCCTAATATTTCTAAGGAAAAGTCGTCACTAGATTTCAGCTTGTAATTTTCTTGTCAGGCCGAACGAGTATTTGTCGTGTCACACAGTTCAACAGTTGATCAAAGTTAAGTTCCGTCGCCCAGCGGCAGGCTAACATTGTCTGAGTGACAAATAGTTAGGTTATGGGCGGTTAAGCAAGTTCAGAAGACCAATAAAATTCGACGTATGTTTATTTATTTCAAGTTTTCAACATAGAAAGACAAAAGTACCTAATAAACTTACTTACTGGTATATTGACAGGATAGTATTAGGAACTAAGTTAACGACAGATCCGTTAATCGCACAGTATCAGGCATAATCGACTTCGCAAAGTTGTTCTTAAACGATCATTTAATACACACATAAACATTAATTAAGTATGCCTAAATTTATTCCTAATATAATATTACTTCGTCGATCACACAGTAACTCTTTGTGGGAATCCAACCCGCACGTTGCACGGCAGCCGATTGCCCAGCTACCACGTCAAATTTTTATTTATATTTTATACGATAAACTGGGTACCTATTTATCAGTTATATGTTACAGTGGCAATATACATTTGCCATCATGTTGGGTATCTAAATATGAAAAATGTAAAAATGTAAAAAAGCTAGATAACCAAACTATTTTAAAGATATAAATACTTTTTTGTATGCAATAGGTCGGCAAACGAGCAGACGAATTACCTGATGGTAAGCAATCGGCGCCGCCCAATCGGTGTCGCAGGTACCCATACCTGCAACACCAAAGGTTACGAGTCCGCTGCTAGCCTTTTTGGGATAAGGGATTGGGATATTTAAAGATTGGGAAAGAATGGGGAGAGACGCAGGGATTGGGTGTCCGGTAACCTCAGGCCGTTGGTTTCGAGCTGGTTTTCTATGAGGCCGTGGTATCACTGCGGTCGAGTCAACCCATTCGTGCCCAGGCATCCTATACTGGGCATGATACGGGTCAAAACGGCTTGAGGAAATCTTCGTCAATCAAATTATCCATAGTACTTCGATTCTTAAATAACTAATAATTGCAATATGGCGCCACATAGTAATATTGTAGTTTCTATGCAACTATATGTTATAATGAATCTTTGTCTAACCCTGAACTAACGATCAATAGCTTACAGTTTTGTTTTAGTTACAAGTAGGTAGCAATTACTAAATGGTATTAGAGAGGTAGGCTCTTCGATACAATCCAGTATTTAGTTCAATTTCCTATTTATAACATAAAACCTAAATATACATTATAGGGTTGACTTGAATATATGGAGTTTTCTCTTTAATGCGTCTAGCCATTTTTGTTCAGGTACCTACTTAAACAAATTTACATGTTTTTCAAATAAATATTCATCGCCATTTTCATTGGTCCTGGTGTCTGGACCGATCCCAACAGGCTGGACAGAATAAGATACTTCTTTTATAAATATGTCCCTTATTATCAACACCATGTTAATTTAAAGAAACTTTAAAGTACAGATGAAAATTAAATTTTGTGACTGGTCGGCGAACGGATTACCTGATAGTAAGCAATCGGCGCCACCCATGTTCACTTTATTACCAGAAGAGATACGTTGTCGTGTACGGCATTGCCGGTCTTTTTGGGTATAAGAGAGAGAGGAGGAGAAGAATTGAGCCCCCGTTAAGCTCACTCACACAGCAAAACACAACGCTGTGGTTGTGTTAGACCATTTTTCTGTGACGCCGTGGTATCGATGGTCGAGTTGACTCATTCGTGTCGAAGCAGGAATCTCCCACACTTTCAGCCATTGTATGAAAAGTGAGAATTTCATGAAGTAAGCACATTTAAGATGTGACCATGACATATTATGTAGGTACATACCGCCCTATTGTCATTTACAAAAGTAAAACCAAGTGTCCGATGCCGTTCTCTAGGTAAAACTTACTAGGTATTACGTCACGCACGTTACAAACTAAAAAACTAATTAAATCACTGATATCTAGAAGTCCAACTGTGCATCAAAAGCTGGTTTCTTTGCCATAATCACAGTAAATACCTACCTATCTATACTAGTATGCGTTTTACATACAATCAAATGGATACCTGTCTATTATTCGCTTCAGTGTTGTTAAATATTAAATAAGTTAAGCCGAAGGATTGAAGTTGAATTCTAAACTGGTAATATCAGCCCACACGTTTGTTCGCAGACCTGCCAATTAATAATAGACAATTATTCAGTTACCTATAATTCAATTTAAATGGTATACGGAACCAAATACTCTAAACGTTTGATTTATAACAGTTCGAAGAAATAAACGTTTTGAATGTTAGAGTTTAGTACATGAATTATTACAAGTAAAGACTTTTGTCTAGCTTGAATATTCTGCTCTTTAACTCCCCTATAAAAGTAAAGAAATATAAATCCATATCAATATTTACTGGATCATGAAGTCCGTGTAAAAATCGTAACAGAAACACGTTGCACAGCAGTCCGTCATCCTAACACTGCACCTAACGTGCATCTACGCTATCAAGTAAATCGAATAATTGAAACAAAAATCAAAATGTAATTGAGTATTGACTTGAAACACCAATATATTGGCAAATAGTGGAAGATGATGATGCGGCTTTTAGTCACTAAAAGTCTGAGATACCCTCTTGCCTCGCTCAGGGCTGGATAAAAGATACGGATTTTTTCTACTCAAAAAAAAAAAAAATTAACAATAAAAGAAAATAAAATGTGGCCGAGACAACTTTAAAGACAAAAACTGAGATTTAGTAATTCAATCAAGAAAATTAAATAAGTATTATTTTGGTTAAAGATTCAGTGAATTGCAGAGTTTTAAAATAAATACATACATAATCCTTTTTTTTTTTCACGTGATGTCATGACGATGATTTCCATTTTAAGAAAAATATAAACAATATTTATAGCCCCATATTGTTATTTTTTCGTATTTCTTCTAGTCGATTAGGTACCTAAATATAAAGTTCTTTTTTATCTCTGTCAGTAATTAAACTTTCAAATTAAAATTAAGTATGTCCAAAGTTGTATCCGCAAATATGGACTAACAAGAGTGTTTCACATCTTAGTTCAGGATGGTAAATTCTCAAAGTAAACTTCCTCAATTAATTTGCGAAAGCTGATCAAATATGCGTCTTGGGATTAGTTACCATTTTCAATTACCGATTTAGACCGTGTGTTGTGAACTTCGAGTGGCGTACAGATTGATCGACTTAAGTAATGATCTGGTTTATCTATACGTACCTACACATGTTCGCTTCCAATAGATATATGACACAATTTGATTACATTTTTATAATAAGAAATCATCATCATCATCAGCTTATAAGTACCCACTGCTGAGCAAAGGCCTCTTCTCACACGGAGAAGGTTTGAGCATTAATCACCACGCTTGGTCACTGCAGGTTGGCCATTTCAAACTTATAATTAGAAATTTTAAGTCCAGGTTTCCTCACGATGTTTACCTTCACCGTATGTCAGTGGTGTCTAAATAATCATAGAAAGTACATATAACTCGGAAAAGCTCACATTGGTACTTGCCAGGTTTCGAACCCACGCTCTCATGCATGAGAAACGGGCTCCTTAACCTCCGGGCCACCACGACATTACTATTATTAAGAAACTACTATTTATAAGAAATATCCTACCAATGTTATAAATGTGAAAGTTTTTCGTATGAATGTCGTGGTGGCCCGGAGGTTGAGCCCGTGGTGAACCTTCTCCGTTGGGTATAGGTTGATGATGATGATGAAAGTTTTTAAGAATGTATAGAATAGATGTATGTTAGTGTATGTTTGTTGTTGTAACACGCAAGAACGGCTGGAAAGATTTGGTTGTGGTATTGTAGATAGGTGACACCCTAGATTAACTCAGAGGCTGCTCAGAGGAAGCTATAAATATTAACCTTCTTATCTAATATGTACCTACTTCTAGTATTTATTAAATAATTACCCTACATTTGAATTTAAAAGCTTTTGATAAGTAAACCTAAAATTAAGTAATACCACATTAACTTGGTTATCGTTGCAATATTTTCTTAATTACAGACTTACCGCGAAGAATGTGTCATCCGCTGCCTCAGATGAATTTAATTTTATGCCATCTCTGAGCTCAAGGACAAAGAGAAATCTGAACTAAAAAATTTGTAACGTTGGATATTGTTACCATTTTAATAAATTGGTATAACAGAGCCATAATTTGTTGAGGTAGAAATGTTCGAAAGACGAAAAACTCAAATCGGAGAACGTAATCAGAATGTGAATGATATTATAAATATATGAATACGTAAAGAGGATTGACTACGAGCATAACGGACTTGCTCAGGTAGTGGGTTGAATAAAAACAAACAGACCACTCACAGAACTTGCAACTAAATGAAAACATAAGTAATAATGTTTACTTTGAATTCTGTATAGACATATTGATTAAACAATGTCTACTGCAGGCATTACTTATGCAACCTACTTCATGTGACATCAGCTCTTCTACCTACAATAAACCTACTTAAAATTAAAAGATTAAATTAATGCAAAATAGTGATTGTGAAATAAAATGATTTGAATGTTTAATAAACCCAAAAATATCGTCCCTCATAAAGGGTAACTTACAGTAAAAGATTCCTGAGGTCTTTAGCGAGGCTTAGTGAAAATTTATCGGCCCCATATCCTTGTTTCCATCCCATGTTTATTTAATTTCGTAGTAACATTTTATGTACGGAAAATGTTGTATAGTTATTTTCCAAGTCTCTACGGCTTTCTCAATTGTATATTTTGTTCTGCGCTGATAACCTTATGATCCTATCCTTTTTCCTTATGAAAGAGATAACAACATTTTAATATTTATTCGTATTCAGTTACGTGCATCCGTTTGCAACAGATACAAATCAAATTATGTTGCAAATCAGGCGGATGTTTTTCTTATTTGTATAAGATTTGTGTAGGTATGTTAAGTCCTACATGTTCTCTAGCTACGCAGCAATCCGTAGAATATATTCAAATTCAAATTCGATACTTCTACGAATCCTAAAACTTATTAACCTCGATGTTCAAAGCGACACACCAACGTGAAATGAAGATTCTATCAAAAAACTTCAGTAGGCGTAATACAAGAAGACCTTGAGCTTCTATATCTTTATTATTTCAACCTCGAAAAAATGAATCTATTCTTAAAAACTTATTATGATTGTTTCCAAAAATCTGTAGCTGACGTTGTTTCAAGAATATACAACGCATAATAAGTGTACACAATATTATGTACAATTGTTTAAAGTTTAGGGCAATAAAGCATATATTTTTACCGGTCTTTACATTGCTTCACAGATAATAACTTTTGCTGCGAGTTCCTGCGTCGTTTGGTGTTGGATCCGGTTTTGTGCTAGTGTAGATTACTAGAGATGAAAACGATATTAAGTAAAATCAAACTTCAAGGCTGTTCTTGTTACTCTACTACTTTATAACATGAAAAGTTGTTAAACTTCTTTATTAAAACTTCCCGCACTGTCCCTTAAATTACAAAGCTGTTATTTCAAGACGGAGTATAATAAAACAAAAGCAATAAAAACTAACCAGTGGGAACGATGGGCAATAAAATGTTGCTCTTTAATCGAGCTTAAAAATGTGTAACTCGTCATAATGATGCTATTTAGAATCAGTTATTATTGCCAAAGTTTGCAATTGCATGTTATTAAAATAAAGCCCTATTTATAACGAACAATACGCGTTGTGTTTCGATCATCAAATAGCTTCGGACGAATATTTGTTTTTATTGCGTAGTCAAGCGAATAAATCTTCAACGTGTTTGGAACAAACATAATTTAAAACCTTGCTTTGCTCGAAGTGATCGCCGTTGTGAAGATAGACACAAGTCACGGAGAATTGTTTGATGTTATCATTTCGTGTGAGACGTATTTTATGTGAGGTAGTCTAGTCTAGTGCAGATAGTTAGTTAGTTAGTTAGAAAATTGTTGCAGAACAAAACTCCAAATGAAAAAAAATACTTTTAAACAGCATGGTAAAATAAATTACGCAAATAGACAAATACTTTTATGAAAAAATATTAAATTGCAACGCTGATATGTAATACTAAAAAAAATACTATGCGCTCCTAAAACGACTTACTGGCCCTCCTTTTGTATTTACAGTTTTTACATTATTACGATAAACATCAATCAATAAAAATCCATTAAAAGACAAAATAAAAAACCACAATTGGTAATCTTTTTCTAATAATCAAAACAAAATTTTGCGAGGTAAGTTAATTTTATAAAAAAGATAGTTTTTTAAGTAAGTAAGCTGTGCTTTGAAGTTATTTGATAGGTATTTGGACTGTAGGAAAACTATGTAGGTGCATTGAAATTTCAAATATTCATATTAACGTTTATATAGATACTATACTTGTAGAACATCATGAAAATATACACATAATACTCATGTCGCTAGTCGGCCTAACATGAGCTCATTGCGCCAGACAATAAATAACAAGTTCCTAGTTGATATTTGGTTGCGGGTTAACCGCAATGAGGCACCGCGGCCTCTGTCCAGAGCTGGAGAAGGAACGGGGGGGTTTTAGTCAGTTAGAGTCTGATACTCCTTCCTGCCTTACCCTGGGCGGGAGAAGTCATTTGTTGATTTTCCCCTCAGAAAAACTTTGTTGATATTTAAAAAATGAAAATTCAGCGTAAAATTAATTTTGTGTTGCAAATCACTTGGCTTTTGTGATTAGGTAGGAAATATTTATAAATATTCAAAATTTAATTGTACCTACATAGTTTTCGTATAGTCCAAAGGTCAAGTAAAACAAAAGCACAGCACACTTATAAAAGCTATTGTTTGTACAAAATTAACTTGTCTCGCGAGTGTTGTTTTGATTACATTACGGCTTAGATCCCGAATCCCTTTCACTGAGTTAAAATATTCCTCGAGTTACACTCTAAATGCTCACATTGTCTCAACTTCATTATTCTGCTTCGTTCGGCCTACCTACCAGCATAATTTGTACCGACACAAAAACGTAACGAAATGTATTATTTTATTATCAAATAATAACTAATATTATATTAAATATTCATTAGTTACTTTGCTTCATTAATTTCAATTCTTGGGTCAAGAACAAGATTTTTTTTGTTAGTTCATATTTTACAGTTCTCTTTAGAAGTTAGTTTTAAAACCAAACGAAATAGAACTACATACCAAACAAGCTGAATGTTTGATCACCGAAGCACTATAATCGCACATAAGCATTAGTATAAGTACGTAATTAAGTCTCCTAACACTCAATCGAGGAGCAAATGAACAATTCGGACGAACGTTACGAACTAAGATAATTATTAATAAAGATACAACCAAATATTTACCACTACCCACAAGTAACAGTGACAATTACGCATAAAGATAATACCTATGTAATATTATAGTGGAGGTATGATAACTAAATAATCATATTGCATTTTCTTTATAAAGTTGACTTCGACCTTCTTAACAAATAATGATAAGACATTAAAATTAAATTGCAATGGCAACAAATGATTTAAAAAAAACTAATGTACATCTATGTAGCCATTTTTTCATGTGTAGACATGTGTATACCTATATTACCGGGTAGCTACAGACTGTATAGGTATATGTTTCCACAGATATAAAATATTACATTCCTACGTAGGTAGGTACACATAAACCATGTCACTGAATAGGAGCACGAAATAGGCGGGAAGAACCTCAATAAGACAAAGATTTAAATAGTGAAGACTAAATAATTATTTATTTTATTTTTGTGGTGGATACTCTTTAATTTTAAACGAAACAAATATGTACAATCTCGTTTCGAAGAACGTTTAAATACTCGTTTCACACTCGCCTTTAATTGAATTCGCAGATCACCGAGTTTGTCACATGTCGCAGTTCGGTTAAAAATGAACGCTTTTAAACAATTAAAATGTAACTGCCATTGGCTCATCCAATTTTAGTACCATAATATGATTATAAAACGCTTTTATTTCATTAACATCACTACTGTTATGAGTTTAAAAATTTCGTTTAAAATTAAAAATAAAATATGCATATTTTAATTTAAGTTACAGCTCTTTTGCCATGATACTTTGTTCTTGTCAAATATATATATTTAAGAATTTGTTTGAGTCATATGGTATCCCTTATCTACCCCTGTAAGTATGTACATTAGGAGAGTATAACGAACTCTGCGAAGTGATTTTGACGTTACGATACTTTAAAAAATGACACTACCCTAAGAATCGTCACATATTTTGATGTAGGTGACTAACTGAATGTTACCCGTAAAAAAAAGAAAAAATATATAAATCAAAACCTGATTTGTATTCTCCCTTTTACCCTTACGTTAAGGAACCTTTAAGTATATAAGTGTCAATTGTGTAGCAACCTACATAACGAGAAACAAACACGTCTGTTTTGAAGTAATTTACTGAATGTGGCGCCCCCATACATTTCATATTCACGTTGGAAGTGGAAGGTGATGGGCGGTCCTATATGCAGTGGAGGCCACGCGGCAGCCAGTCACCGATGGATCGAACTAATCGATCGCATTGTTATATTCCACCACGTCATCACGTCAAATTATAACATAAGTATATTTTACATTTTTTTTAAGTCAATGCCTCGTGATTTTTGCATTACAATTCTACAATTAAACTAAAATATAAGCAACATACGATGAACGACGCAAGCAACTCGGGGCTTCTCCGCAAACGAGGCCTAACTGTAAAAAGGCTCAAGATGGATTGGCGTAGTAATTAACTTACAAGAAGTCCTGGTTTTCTTATAGTGTTTTGTTTCACTGTTTGTTTGAGGCGTTTCATTGGTCTTGCCTTAATGAGAATATACATATACCTAACTTGAGAAACTGCAAGTCCATCTTATTCAACTAGTCATATTGTTTCATGAGCAGACTTGCATTGTAAGTTTAGTACTATATGATCTTAATTGATGTTCTGTACATTCAGTATCTATAATATGTAGTTACATCTCTGGTGCAATCAACAGATTTGTGAAGATGTAAGGACTATTCATGCTGTGTATTTACTAGAATTAATTAGTACCGCCCAATACCTTTGCGTATTGACAGGCCCAAAGCCACTATTCTAGAGCTTTTCCTAATTAGTTTCATTAAGTCCTAGTGTGGGAATATACCTAAGAAAAATAAACCTTTGTTGCTCTTCAAATAAATGCAGTATTGTATTAATGTTTTTGAAGTATTATTATAATAAACTAATTATTTAATTATTGTTTTTATTTATTTGAATTTAAACCCAGGAGGTTTTATGTAATAAACCACTGAAATGATATGTATTGCAAGCTGTTTTGGCCTAACTAACCCGACTAATTTAGGTGGACCACTTTACTGTATAGTACGCATTATAAAAAGTGTTACTATGCAGCTAGTTGTCACACACAAATGAACTGGTCTGTAGACTAAATGGCCCGACCGCTAAAATTTTAATCTCTCGGCTGTAATTAGAATAATGCGTAAAACGAGACATTATTTTCAACTTTTAATTACCTACCTAAGTTTTTATGGTTGATGGAAAATGTACATTAAAGTTAATTCCTTTAGTTGCGTTTCCAGTAATGTTTTACGATATTCTTATAATTCAAAATCTTTCCCAGTCTCTGTTTCAATTAAGTACATAGTTACATTGCAAAAAAGTCTTAA